TGGAAATTTTATGACGTTATATATATATATATATATATATATATGTGAAAAATGAATAAAAATTACAAATTCACTTAACCTTAGGTACTAAACTTTATGAAAGTACGTTGTTTTATGAGATGAAGATTGCGATTAGGAAGTCACAATTAAGACTTGAAGTTGTAGATTTTGAAATGAAACATTAATTTTTGTAGGGAAGTAAGAATATTGATGATCTTCGACCTTTATGAAGGTGAGAAACAGTTGTGTCCGCTGGGATAAAGTAATAAACAATAATTGAGTAAATAAAATAGTGATGGTTAAATGATAATGAAGGAAAAAAATAATATAGGATGGTACCATTACCAAGTGAAAACCTAAGCAGATATATTTACCAAGTTAAAACGATATAATTAAGAGGTTTAACATCTAAGATTAAGTGGGGTTGTAATACTGACCTTTATATGATAATATATATCTTGAAGCTCTATTTGCCTCTACAATGATATGACCATATGAGGTTGGGTGATTATCACCCATCTTGTACAATAAAATGAAATAAATCCACAACACTAATGATTCTGGTCACAAAGAAGCTTTAATTTCCTTAAAGTGAAAGACATTTGATTGGTAGAGATTCAAGGAAGTGTATTCTTCAATAAAATCAAAGGACACAACTTTGTTTTTTTCACTTGTAAACGGTAACACTAATGTTATTATCAAAAAATTTATATCGTAAAAAATATATGATGCATTATTATTTTTTCTCATACTTAGGGAAGAAATTCTGTGGCCAATAGTCGAGATTTAGTTTTTGTAATCCAACCATCTGCGTGGAGGCTCACTATTCAAATTATGGAGTTGAAATTGGGAGATTGCAAAAAGACGAGCCTTCTCCCTTGTAATGCAGGAGCCGTAAAAGGTTGTCAAGAAGTCTTTTCATATTTATATTACCTGAATTTGAGCTATCAAAGATAAAATTTAGACAAAATTGCAAAAATGGTCCCTGTGGTATGCATTTTTTTGGGGTTTTGGTC